AGGAAGTTAACTATAACCAGAAAAACATAGGCAATAGATAATCCCAACCCACCAACAGCCAAAAGGAAAAAGGGACAGAATCCCACATATACTCTCGGCAACATCACCAAATCAAAAACAAACAAGAATAAACAATAATCAATGGTCATTAATATCCATCAAGATTAATGCTCTTAATTCTCCTATAAAAACACACAGATTGGCAGAATGGATAAGAAGACAGAATCCATCCTTCTGCTGCATACAAGAAACTCACCAAAAACTTCAAAGACAGACAGTACCTAAGAATTAAAGTTTGGGGAAAGATCTTCTGATTAAATGCATCCAAGAAAAAAGCATAGGTAGCAATCCTAATATCCCACAAATTGAACTTTAAACTAAAATCAGTCAAAAGAGATGAAGAAAATCATTTAATCATTTCCTACTCTTCATAGGAGAAATCCATCAGGATGAAGGCTCAATTCTGAACATGTATGCCCCAAATACAAAGGCATCCACGTTTGTAAAAGAGACATTATTAAAACTCAAATCACACATAAAACTGCACACACTAATAATGGGAGATTTCAACACCCCACTCTCACCACTGGACAGGAACACCAGACAGAAACTCAACAAAGAAACAAAAGAACTAATAGAAGTTATGGTGCAATTGGACTTAACAGATATATTTAGAACATTCCACCCAAATACAAAACAATTTACCTTCTTCTCAGCGCCACATGGAACCTTCTCTAAAATCGACTACATACTAGGCAACATAGCAAACCTCAACAGGTACAAACAAGTAAAATAATGCCCCCTGTGTCTTATCAGATCACCATGCATTAAAATTAGAATTCAACAACAACACGAACTACAGAAAAGCTACAAACTCATGGAAATTAAGTAACACCCATTTGAACAATTCATGCGTCCAGGGACAAATAAAAAAATAAATTAAAGATTTCCTAGAATTAAATGAGAATGTAGACACAACATATCCAAACCTATGGGATACGTTGAAAGCAATGCTAAGAGGAAAGTTCATAGCACTAAATGCCCACATGAAGAAACAGGAGCATAACTGAAAGCTTAAAAAAACAAAAAAGCCAATACACCCCTGAGGAGCAGACACCAGGAAATAATAAAATTGTGGGCTGAAATCAATAAAATGGAAACCAGGAGAACAATATAAAAGATCAATATAACAAAAAGTTGGTTCCTTGAGAAAATCAAAAAGATAGACAAACCATTATCCAAACTTACCAAACAACAAAGAGTGAACATGCAAATTAATAAAATCAGGAATGAACAGGGGGCATAATAACAGACACAGAGGAAATCCAGAGAATCATAAAATCTAAAGGAAATGGACAATTTTCTGGACAGATTTCACTTACCAAAATTAAATCAAGAACAGAGAAACAACTTAAATAGATCTATAACCTCTAATGAAATTGAAGCAGTCATTAGAAGTCTCCCAACCAAAAAAAAACCTGGGCCAGATGGCTTCAGTGCAGAATTCTACCAGAAATTCAAAGTAC